TAGGGAGCTAAGACGGAATGGAGATAGGGTTGAGTACGAACGACCACCAGGGATAGCATGGTGGATCGGTGTAAAAGATGTGGCCCAAAGTGTGTTGTCTGTTATCAATGATTAGACACCATTCATCAAGGCAATTTTCTCAAGCAAAAACATACTTCGGTTCAGCAATGACGACCATGTTTTTTGCGAAGGCCGGCTGATGATCTCCGCTCGTAGGGCTTCAATGGAAGCACTTTCTAGGTATTCAGGTAAAGTCGCGCGTTGAGAGATCTGTCCCTGTTAGCATGGAGTGAGGCCAAATAGACGATGGATTATGACATACTGTCTCATTTCCTTGTCGGCTAGTACTGCGCTGGAGAGACTTGCTGACGTTGGTCGTCGGAGTTCGTCCGGTCTGCTTCCAGGGACCGGCCAGGACGTTATACATTGAAGGCCAGAGATCCGATGTCACGGCAGCGACATTCTGGTAGCAGGTTGCGTATGTCAGTTGTGAGATCTGGACGAGAAATCGTGAAGTGGTACTCACCGGCATGGGGATCGGGACTTGAAAGGCCATAACTGTCCGATATACAGCGGCACTAGGCCGGGTGCGAGGATGGGCGTGTGCTCCTCTCGGTAAAATCTACAGCCGAAAAGCAAAATTGAATCTGTCAAGCTCGAGTGGAAGAGACTGACATCGCTGACACAAGAATGGAGATAGAGAGGAAGGCGATAGTGGGCTCCGCTTTGATGCGGCGAAGGGCGACGACCACTTGTGTCCGAAGGGGCGACCGTAGATGTGACACGTGATATAAAGTGGCACGTGCACGATATGAATAGAAGCTTTTTATGGTCTCAATCAGCTCTCGTCAGGGTCCGATAAAGGAATGAAGAGGGCATTTTCAGAAAATGTCGTATTTTAACCATGTATACTGGATGATTTGACTGAAAAAAATTGTTAGCAAACTAATACTACATATGTAGCAGCTAGGAAGGGCTAGGTACATCTTCAATGGTAGTGTTGGCAGAAGCTTCCCATGGTTCGCGCCTGGTCTTTACTTGGAAATTTCAACGCCTTGACGTCCCATTTGAACTTCATTCATTTTGTTGTCACTTTTAGACAATGACCCTGTGACAACCCCTTGCTCTATGGCTCTAGGGACCTTCCGGCCTACGCTCTTTGTCAAGGACGGACAAGAGCTCCCCTTGAGCAGCACATTCTGCCTTCTAATCCAGACTTGATATGTCTCGAAAAACTATCTTCTTGGTAGGGGCTCCGTTGTCGGCAAATCTGAACTGGGACACAGACGAGCTTCTCAGCAGGCCTATACCTCCCTTTCATGAGAGTACGAAGAGCCCAGAACAACAGCTATCCCTGGATCAACCACCTGTAAGATGGAGAGTGTTACGGTCACCATCGGCCGATAAGCCAGGTGACAATTATGACTCTTTCCAAAGCTATGAGGATCCAGCGTTTTTCATCTCGCATCAACTGGCTTTTGCGACAGATACGACAAATCCACAAGAAGATTCGATTCTTCAATTCTACGACCATTCTTTTGCTATCCACGAAACCTCCGAGATAGCTGGATCAGATGGGTATGTAACAGATTCCACGCAGGAGAGCAGTTTGGGCGAGGACCGCGTGTCGGATAGCTCTACATGGTTGAACAAACCAGACACTGCAAGGTCACCTCGCATCCTCCATATTCCTGGACCCCTCAGCAATTTGGAAGACCTTCCCACGGCCAGGTACATCCAATCCATCGCACCGCAAACGATGACGGTTAATATGATTGTGGGGGTGCTGGCAGTTCACCCCCCACGTCGGATAGTAACGCGACAATGGAAAACTGAATTAGACCTTATCGAGCTCGTCGTTGGAGACGAGACAAGGGCCGGGTTTGGAGTCAATTTTTGGCTCAAGCCAGAGAAGCCAACCGCTGCCAAGAACAATGAAGCGGATCGCTTGGGTCGATCGCCGGCGTCACTTCGACCCCGCGACATTATTTTGCTCCAAACTGTCGGGCTCAGTACATTCCAAGATCGGGTGTACGGACAGAGTCTGCGCCGAGGGATGACTACGGTCGAGCTTTTGCATCGACAACCGGTAGATGTGACGGATGCAGTTGGATTTTACCAGAGCAGAATTCAAGAAGGTAGCTCCCACGACGATCAACCGGTCCTGAAGGCTGGCCGAGTGCGCAATTGGATGCTCCGATTTGTGACGGATTCGGTTGGAATGTCTCATCCACGTGGACTGCCTCCGGACACGCAGTAGTTGAATTAATTACTTTATTGTTTCAATGATTTATTTGTAAATATTAATAAGTTAATAGATATCTAATCCATAGTCCAACATATATACATAATGTAGCACATATACTCCGTACTCCATACCTAGTAGCAACACATTGTATCTGAGACGGGAGAGGGGAATACATGTATCCACCACAACCTTGGAAATCCTCATCACTCAAGTTTCAGGGGCGACACCTCATGACCATCGTAAAATGAAGTTTAGTTTCGCGGGGGGACACCATCTGCATCCGGTAGAAACCATGCAATAGCATTGGACATAATGACCGGGGATGGCTGAGCTAGTGAGACCTCAGGAGATCTCCAGCAACTTTACTCCGTACGCATCAGAGGTATCGAGTTTTAGGGTATCCAGTTGAAAGAATGTGAATTGAATTTAACTTGAATTATTCATATATATCAAGTCAAATACTCCATACTCCCAAAACAGCTACAACATAATCAGCTTCACAAAACAGTTCAGTTGAAGTATATGACCCCCTTTTTCCCGCAAACAGGCCCCTCCAATCACCGCCACTCACGTGCCCCCACTTGGACGAAAATAAATCCATCAACGGCCAGGTGTTCCCTAAATAACAGAGAGTCTCTCTCCTTTTACTTCTCCTAGCCTCCTCTAATCTTCCTAATTTTTCTAATTTTGACCTATTTTCTTTCAATTTCAATTCATCATGAAGGGTATGTTGTGTATTCAATGCTTCCATTTCTCCCCGCTAACCCCTCTAAAGCTCTTATTCTTGTCGGTGGTTTCGGAACCCGTCTGCGCCCTCTGGTAAATCTCCCTGGATTTTTTTGGATTTTTTTTTTAATATCCTATTCTCTACCTAACAATGCTAATAACTCCAATTGATTTAGACCCTCACCCTTCCTAAGCCGTTGGTGGAGTTCGGAAACCGGCCCATGATCTTGCACCAGGTCGAGAGCTTGGCTGCTGCGGGTGTTACTGATATTGTTCTTGCCGTCAACTACCGCCCAGATGTGATGGTCGCAGCCCTAAAGAAGTACGAGGAGCAATACGGAGTCAACATTGAGTTCTCCGTCGAGTCCGAACCGCTGGGCACGGCTGGCCCGCTCAAGCTGGCGGAGGAGATCTTGGGCAAGGATGACTCGCCCTTCTTTGTGCTCAACTCGGATGTTATTTGCGACTACCCCTTCCAGCAGCTCGCCGACTTCCATAAAAGTCACGGTGATGAGGGTACTATTGTTGTCACAAAGGTGGACGAGCCTTCCAAGTACGGCGTCGTCGTCCACAAGCCCAACCATGCCTCACGCATCGACCGCTTCGTCGAGAAACCTGTCGAATTCGTTGGCAACCGCATCAACGCCGGTATCTACATTCTAAACCCCAGTGTTCTGAAACGCATTGAGCTCCGTCCGACCTCCATCGAGCAGGAGACCTTCCCCGCCATCTGTAAGGAGGGCCAGCTCCACTCCTATGATCTCGAGGGCTTCTGGATGGACGTCGGTCAGCCCAAGGATTTCCTCACCGGTACTTGCCTGTACCTGACCTCTCTGGCCAAGCGCAAGCCCCAGATGCTTGCCCCTCACACAGAGCCATATGTGTACGGCGGAAATGTCATGGTTGACTCCTCTGCCAAGATCGGCAAGAACTGCCGTATTGGTCCCAACGTGGTCATTGGCCCCAACGTCGTCATTGGTGATGGTGTCCGTCTTCAGCGCTGCGTCGTGATGGAGAACTGCAAGATCAAGGACCATGCTTGGATCAAGTCCACCATTGTTGGCTGGAACAGCTCTGTTGGCCGCTGGGCGCGTCTAGAGAACGTGACTGTCCTCGGAGACGACGTTACCATCGCCGATGAGGTGTATGTCAACGGTGGCTCGATTCTGCCCCACAAGAGCATCAAGCAGAACATTGATGGTAAGCCTTCGTTTATATCGATCACCAAAAACCTATACTAATCACTTTATACAGTTCCTGCGATCATCATGTAATCCCATTTCCTACTCCCCCCCTCTTCCTTCACGTCGCTATGCCTTTTGAAATACCTTCCTTCAACTCTCCACCCTCCATCCCGCCCTCCTCGATGCATAGAACCGGAGTCGTTTACTGCGTTGTCTTCTCTTCTGTTGCTTGCCTTTCTTCCGTGACGGTTCATCGCCCTCGCAACTTCCTTCCTTTCGTCCGATGATCGATGCACTCAAAAACCTAGATGGTGGAAGCGTGCGATTTCGGCTGTTTTGCAAGAAATAACCCCTTTTAGTCTTGTTTTTCTACGTTCATCCTTCAAGTTATTCAAGTTACCCCCGTTTTAGTGCTACATATTGAGGGCTTCGTCACTACATCCCTGCTCCCTTGCGTTTGGCCACCCGTTTTCATTCCATTTTTCATTTTTTTTTATCACTGATGGTCTTCTGGTAATTGGTGGGCAAGGAATTCATGCCATATCCGTTTTAATGAGAACATGGGTGTGGAGCTGGTTCTGTTGGTGTAAATAATGGGAGGCGGAATTAGCAAAAAAAAAAAGATGCAAGTTCAGTTAGTCTTCAACACGATGCTTCAGATGTTTCATATCAGGTATCATTGTAGAAGTACTACTAGTAGACAGAATATTACATACAGTTTTGAGGATATATACCTATACATACGGTCATTGAAGCTGTTCCGCTTTGAATCAGTCAAACAGCAAGAAACCGAAGGAGAGACTTGGTCTTTAACAAAGCCGTTCTTTGCCTCCAGACCGTCTCTAGGAACGAGCCTCGGCTTGATCCAAGATCTCATCCCATTGAATTCTCAACTCTTCCATCTGTTTCCAGCACTGGCGTCCAAGTTCCTCGAACTCTTCCCTCTTTTCCTTGGTAAGATCTTTTGCGCCACGCTTGCGACGTCGGAGCCGATCAGCCTCGACAACAGGCGCGCCGACAACACCACCATGTCCCCAGCCATCGACCTCGGTAGAAACCGCACTTTCAATTCCAAGACGCCCGCAAGATGAGCCCCATTTCGCTCTACCACCCCCACCGGCCCGGTGGTAAGGCTCTTCGGCGGCTTCAAGGTCAGCCTGCGATGCCAACGCAAGGAACACCGGAGCACAAGCGCCGAGGTAAGTAGACAATGTATGCCAGGGCGAACCCAGCATCCTTGCAGCCCAGAAAGCGGCAACCATCGCCCACGCAAGAGGAAGAACAAGCGGGATGATCGAGGTGGCGCAGATACCAGGGTGAGAGAGATACATGCGCGGGGTCGCATCGGGAGCATCTGTGTGGACAGCATGGGTGTCAAGCTCCGTCTCGGACTGCAAGAAGCTATCGACCGACCAGGGGACCGTGCTCGGCAGATTGGAAGTCAACGCGAGGATATCAGTGAGAGCCTTAGAAGACTCATATGGCGCATCAGTGCGCAAACCTTGGATATCATCAACATTAAAAAAGTTCCAAGTCGCCTCAAGACTGGAAACCCAGACCACGCGCCCGGGCCCGTTCGTGCGTGCCCGCTTCAACAGCGGAGCCACGTTGTGCGCCAGCATGTAGTGCCCGAAGACATTTGCGCAAAAGACCGCTCCGAGTGCGGGCTCTTCTTCTGTCTTTGTTTGCTTGCCTGTTAGCACGCCTGTCGGCGCGAGCTTGTAGGACGGCCAGGTCACCGAGTGGAGGAGATCTGTGCATACGTCCCAAATAGCCCTGGGCCAGTTGATGCCGGACCAGCCGCCCAGTCCAGCATTGAGGACTATCGAGTCAAGCCGGGGAGAGAGTGTGGACTAATTTGCGGGATAGTTCGCGCACTGAGCGGAGATCACCGAGGTCGACGCTCTCCGAGACGAAGTGGACGCGCGCTGCGGCAGATGTGGAGGGGGAGGTTGATTGTAGGTGTGCTTCCAGTCTATGGATTGTGTCTTGGGCTTTGCGCGCACTTCGAGTTGTGAATATTATAGTGAGGGATTCGGATTCTGGGTGTGAGGAGAGGAACTCGTCGGCAAGGCGGCAGCATATAGAGAATCCGAGACCGCTACGGATGGTTCAAGTTAGTATAGGAAATTGAGCCAATTGGGTCCGATGGGAGTTTTATATACCTGTTAGCTCCTGTCACCAGGATGTGCAACATAGTTTGCTGCTCAGTAGCGGACTTGACCTGATCCATGGCGTTACTCCAGTGAGTTTATTGACTCCGGACTTTTTTTTTTGATATCGGAGATAGGGGTTATGTGATAAGATGTCCAGCAATTGAAGTTGGCCGGGGTTAGAGAGGTTGTTTCTTGTTATCACAACAACCAAGGTATACGAAAATCTGCTGCACGTGAAACAAAAGGAAATCCCCTTGGGGCGAGAGCACTGGTAATGCCTACATACATATTGTTGAGAATCCACCGAACGGAAGGTATTCCACACAGATCACGTGTTCAACTCTAATCTTATCCTTATCGGAATCGTGTCTGGGTAGCTAGATGCTGTTCTCCGTCATCCTTGCTCATGCTTCATACCTGAGATCTGCTAAATCTCACCCAAATATCATGCAGTCAGCACACACGAAGTAATGGCAGTCAGGCTTGAGCGGTTTCTCAACACAACTGGATGGTTCTTCTTCGCCATCATCCTCTTCTGCCTGGTCATCCTCACACCAGCAGACGCCATCTATCAATGCTACGAGACGGGTCGTCTCACCAACGTCTTTTTCATTATCGGCGCATATGTGATAACTTTTATAATTGCAGCCCTCATATATGCGACACGCATTTACACGAATCGGAGTGCACTCACAGGCATACCCAAAGCCTGGATCCCCGTGGAAAAGGAAGATGTGAGCAAGAGTGTTAGGCGACTGGTGAAGGAAGGCCTCATCCGTAGCGCCATCATCGCGTATCAAGCCCGACCGCGCGATATCTCCACCGACGAGGACAGCTTCCAAAACTACAGACCGCTTCTCATTGACTCCGAGCGACCCCCTTGGGGCCATGTCGAGCACCCCGGCTGGTCTTCACCTGCGACACCAGACTTACCGAATCTACCATATCGTACGGTCATACAAGAGCTCCCTAGCTTAATTGAAGCCAAAGCTGTTTCCCTTGCCCCTGCCGATTCATTATCGCTTGCGCCCCCATACCCCTTCGATCCGTCAAGCGACCTTACAACACACCCATTCTCTCTCCCAGATACACGCGTGGTGGAAGTATTGCAACGTCCTGCCTCGATGGGTCTGAGAGAATACATCCGCCATCTAACATCTCTTGGGGCTATCTACCCACCAGAGCTCGGTGCAGACTTCCTTGCGTTGTATGAACAAGCTCGATTCTCGCCGCACGATCTACACGAGGCGGAATTCCGTGACTTGATGCATCTCTTTGCAGAGATCTTGAGAGGAATGACATCCCTTGCACCGCCAATCCTGGATGAAATTCGCGACAGCGCAAGCTACCGACGGGCCTATAGCGAATCTGTCATAGGGCCCTCGGACGAAGAGGGAGAAACAGATACTGTGGAGACTTATGGTTACGACGGAGCCCTAAGGTCCATGCGGAGTAACAGCCTTCGCCCATCGAATGCGTCTACCTGGGAGACCCAGTCTGGGTATGACACCGCACCCGCAATGCATAGTCCTGCGTCAGAACTGTCAACAGATAGTGGATCCTATGCGGCACGGAGCCCTTTTCACACACCTTCTACGAGGTCTCTACGACGCATAGCATCGAGGCAATCTGGCAGTTCAGGAGGGAGTGTCATTCGCTTGACGCAACCAGGAGATCTGACAGATTTGCCGTATACATTTGACTACGCTGGACGTAGGCAGTGATGACGTTCCATTCGTACCCTGTATATAACTTATAGAGCAACCCCATTCACGGATTTAGACACCCAATTGCGCCAATCCTCCAAGAAGCAAGGGGTGCCCAGGTGGGTGGATCGACTTAGTCAGGCGGAAATATTCCGATTCCTTGGCACACCTGCAAAATGATTGATAAGATCAATTTCGTTGGTTATCATTTGACGTACGCGCCATAAGACACGAAGCCAAATTGGCAATTGTTTTCCTTTCTCGCACAGTTGAAGAAGATATTCGTATCCTGTAACAATGCATCTCTTTCGCCGAGGGACTTCCTCCCTTTTTAGCTCCTCCAATGTCTCTCTCGCCTCTTCCAAGACCGACACCACCACTGATGCTGTGGGCGACAATGCCCTTGCCACGGAGGGGTTTCAAACAATCTCGTCGAGTGATAAGCTTTTTCAAAACGTCGATCCAGCGATAGATGGCGAAGACTGCCTGCACGACTGTGCGACATGCACAATCAAATACCCCGCCAAATTCGATGTTGATCACCAAGACGAACTATATGGACAAGTCAATGGATGGGCGACACATATGCTCGTCGCAACAGGCAAGTCAGATTGGGTTAGAGATGTGGCAGATGAGAAAGGGAGCGTCATGGAAGCCATTGAGAAGGGAGGACTGGAACCGAGCAACGGGGTATGACAATATCGACCACCAATCCCTCTTTACCTATCAAAACCAATCAATTCACACGAAAAAAAGCTAACATCAAGCTTGAAACTTCTCGCAGCGACTCAAACTGTCAGCGTCAAACATGCCTGTCCCGGACGAATACCACATCGCCGACGCAGGCAAACAGCCAACAAACGTCCTCCTACTACCGAGTTTCACTGTCATCGAGCATGTCACCCCACAGCTAGTCCCAGATCTGATTGAGAACTTCATCAACCGATCTCTGACAACAACGACGCCACTAGGCGCAATCCCACCCCCACCAGAGAAACCAGCAGAGGCAAACCAAGACCCCACACAAGCACAAGACCTCCCACACCCGTCCACAACATCCCTCAAATCCCACCCCAGCCCGCACGCGGCAGTAATCCTGCTCTGCTCGCAGCGGACGCGCGACGCGCGTTGTGGGCAATCAGCGCCCCTGCTTCGACGCGAGTTCGAGCGCCACCTACGCCCGCTTGGTCTGTACCGTGACATGGACGACCAGCGACCCGGCGGTGTGGGTATCTACTTCATCAGCCATGTTGGTGGACACAAATACTCTGCCAACGTGATTGTATACCGCCGCCGGGACTTCGAGTGGTATAAGCGCGGTGTTCCTGCGGAAGGCGAGGGGCAGGTCGAGGATGAGGGTGCTGCGCAGGGGATCTGGTTAGCGCGTGTGCGGCCGGAGGAGTGTGAAAATATCATTCGATATACTGTCTTGCAGGGCAAAGTGCTCAAGCCTGCGCAGCAGTTGCGGGCTGGCTTTGATCGTGAGCGCGAGCTGACAAGTTGGTAAAGCTAGAGTTGGGTTGCTTGGTTGTGATTTTGGAGTTAGTAGAGTGCATATAGTAGGGGATCTCACGTACAGAGTATATATAACTATGTTGGGTTGTCTGATGTATCTCATGTGTGCTTTTGTATTCGGTACTACCCCCAGGTCAGATATATGTCTATGCGTAGAATAACAACAGCTAGATTCGCTAGCGCTCTGTATAATATCTACTACGAGCTAGCACAGATCACATTCTGAACTAAAACTAGAGTGCAGCCGAACCAACCTTGCGACTACTACTTGATTCATGCCCTAGCTGTCCCAAGAAACACATATTCTCTTGATGATACCAACAACCTTTGCTCATACTATACAGGCATGACGAGTTTCCGGAATCAATAAGACCTGAAACATAGATATCATAATCATCAGACCCCACCTGGGCACAAGGACCTACCTATGAACCAAGCAGGTTGCTAAATATCATTATTTTTCTGATCTCTTACTTCGCTTCCTGTACTCCATAGTACCTCATTGTCATACGGATATCTCCGACCTCCCAAAGTCGGGTTTTGATACGCGCACCATTTTACATAAGCAAATTCTTAGATAATCAATAAATCACGGGTATAATCGGATGAAAAATCATGTGATTATCCATGGATCAACCTCATCTATCAATCTGATACATATATAATAGCGAACAACAATTATTTCCGCATTAAGCAACACAAATAACATCAAAACTTCCGTATCGGGTATCTCCTAAACATATACCCAGTCTCCTCCCACCTAGAACACCTGCTTAGCGCCTTCTGCTTCCTCTTTGGGCTGCTTACCTTCCCAATTGGGTAGTTTTCTACCCGTTTCTACTGCTGGGGTATGCTTGCTGGTAGAATTGGGTGCAATTATACTGGAACAGGCTTACTAAACCAGAATAGAGTGATTTTATCCAATAAAATCGACTGATTTGATCTGATAAGATCAGATAATCGATACTTACATGGAACTTTAGGCCTATTGAGGGAGTAAAAGAACCTGTACACTACCCGATTGGGCTAGTTTATAGGGCTAAATCATGCTGTTTGTGGATTGATATGATCACTTACTCCGGAACATATAGTCGAATAGTACTATATAAATAATTTGTATCTGGTATTTTATAGTCAGCCCAACAAATTGATAGATGAGGTTGGTAATCACATGACTTTTCATCCGGTCGTACCCGCCCGGGCGTAATTTCCTGATTATCTAAGAATTTGCTTATGTAAAATGGTGCGGTAGTAAAATCGATGGTGCGCGTATCAAAACCCCCCGAAGTCCTTAAGCTTATATAATACAAATTCGTCCCGACAGTGCCCGACTGACCCATCCGAACTGAGGTCAGGCCCTGGCCAAACGATTTCCCGAGGTCGCCAGTTTGATTACGTAATATACAGGGGGCAGCCCTCCAAGTCTGGCTCCAGAGGGGCGTGCTCAATTTTACTCCGACGGTGTATATCTGCGAATTTAGGGTATACAAATCAAGTCTGATAAAGCAAACCTCCATAATCCATATTGATACAGAGTAGGGAGTACGGAGTAGTAGTATGCCCTTCGTCCGGTTTATGCCATTCTCCCCTACATAGCCCAAATGCAGCCACAGCACTATATCTCAAACCAAGTGCACATCCACACTCCAAGGAGGATATAAGGCCACGCTATTGCATGTGCTCCATACTACCACGTTAGTTGCAGCAAGGCGTGCATGCGTACCCGACGGCCGACGGCCCTACATAGAAATCCAAGAAGCCATTCCCCCGGAAAACGTCATGCACTCGATTGAGCAATAACATCAGATGACTAGCAAGGGGGTGATGCAGGTCTCGAAAAGAAGCCAAGCCAACCAGCCGCTATCCCTCAGCCCTCGGGTTCTCGTTATGCTCTTGACTCCACCGGGCTTTTTTGAAAGTAACCTGAGACGGTGATTGCACAGAATAGAGGAGCCAATGTTCCCCCCGTCTTGCGATTATCAGCGGCGCCCCCTTGCACAATAATCGGGTAAATGGTGCGGGAATTTTGTACTTCGCTTTTTCTTTTGCGGGGAACGGAAATAACTCTAACACGTCATTTTCCCCGATATCTCTCTTCTATATTTTTATACATTTGTGCTACTAGATAGGAGCTCGGAGATGGTGTCTTTTACGGTAAGAGACCCCCGGGATTTCTAGTAAGGAGGCGTACCAAATCCTTAACTTTGCTGTCAGCTGTGATAGGGGCTTGCGGTAAGTTTTGATGATTTGATCACGTTCTTTGCATCTATCTCACTCGCGCTGTTGGTCTTCAGAAACCGACAATTGGTGAATTTTGAATTTGGAAACTAGAGACAACATGCCTGCAAGGGGTTGGTTGGTGGCTGTTCACCATTAGCCCGAAAGATCCTGGTTAGGTTACCCATTTGACGCAGATAGGAGAACAAACCCCGAGTGTCACCGACATTCGCGCAACGAGAGCGAGAGGATGTAATATGGTGGAGAATGAACCCGACGAGCACAAAGAAAATAAATCCGAGGAATTTATTTCCGGCCTGCTGGTTCTACTGGGGGCGGCGCCGATAGAAGGTTATCATATAGATCATCAGTTATTCCTCAGAACTATAATAATACGCATATAATCTATTTAGGGAAAACATGACCACATTAATACAGCCTCTCCTTGGTGGGAAAGCTCGCGGAGTCAATAGCCAGATTGTCGAAACAGAGAACCCACCTAGCTTCTTAGCTTCCTTGATTCTAAAGTGGGGGATTAGTAGACGAGCTTCTCCCATTAGTGCGTCGTCATGCGCGCGTCGGAGATTAATTTTGTGGCTTTTCGGGATATTTGGAGAAGGAGCTCTCGTTTAGGAGCTTCTGTTGGTAAATTTATCCCAGTGGTTTTATTTTTATGTACAACATACCTCACCATCGGCACTTCACATGGTATAGGCGATCATCCATGGAGGTGAGGTATATTTCCAATCTGCTTATTATACACTGTTGTAAATGCCGTTTCATTTTCATCCATTGTATGGTACATTAATAACCTTTCCCTCGTATACAATCAATTACCTACAAATACCAACACCGTTAGTGGCTTAGCCACAAGCCCAAGAGGGGCCACGCCTTGCATGGGTCAAATCAGAGAGCTCACCAACAGTGTCATATCATCTCTGAATCGCCAAGATGAAACAAAATGCGGGGTAGTTAGAGCTTCTTAAATTATATCAAACAACCGAGGGAAGAAAAGGAGAGGAGGAGGGGGAAAAGGAAAGAAAAGACCGAGAAAACGGACTATCTCCTTGAACTCTAACCTTCCTGAAAGCCATTGTCCTTGCGTGATGCTCATGCAGCTACGAAACACCTCTTGAACAGCTTCCGACTCCGTTTCTCTTGCATTTTACTTATTCGAAAAAAAAAAACGGTGGTCCTTTCCATATCGAATATGATATGGCCCCCAAAACGATTCCATCCCTATCCGGCCATTCCATAAATGGAATTAGTCCGAAGACAAAAACAAAGAATCCGTAGACCAGGCTCTTGGGTATATTTGACTGACGCCTCATTTCTTTTCAGCACACCGGCTTTTCATTTTTCTCTTTCTGCGTTCTGCTTTCGCATTGTAAAATGTAAATATGCATGGATACATGCATTATTATGTACTGTGTCGTACCTACCTGATCGGCCTACGCATGTATTATAACTCCGCCGATTACCGTTTTATCTAGCGTACATCTAAGGAACCGATGGCCGAGCTCAAGGATAGTCGCAGTTTATTTCTTAGGGGCTGATCGTCGGAGACATATTGTGACTAAGTTTCTTTTCAAAGTTTCATAGTGTCAACACGAGCGCGTCTGCAAGTCTGGACCGTTCAGGAGGAAATGTTGGGCTGTGCAAGTTGTACACTATGTATACAGTAGCCTTTCTTGGTTTATTCCCGTCCGAAGTTATGTTCGATTACCTCAATGGCTGAGACGAGCTGCATCCGTAACCTCTAATAGGGAATCTGTATGGATCCTCAAACCCGCACATGCTTTTATCTTGTACATTGCATCATCAAGATCCGGATATAACATGAGCGCAGAGTTATTGGTCTAAACGAGATCTACCTCCCACCTATCAGGTAATCTGCGGTCAACAGACCTGCGGTACTCCGTACAAGATTAGGCCAAGCTCTACGGAGTACCGTACTCCATACAGCATACAACATAGGTTGTACTATAAACAGAGCTTGTCGATCACAAAAAAAAAAGTGAGGGGGAAAAGGAATGCCACAAGGCGTCTGTCATTTCGGCGTAATAAGGTTGTAGGATCAGAAGATCGCCGCTGTTAAGACGACCGCGAGTGGGTTGCCACGTTCAGGAGCAATTAACACCATGACGCCCCAGCTTCTATTTATGTTTCAACATATCTTCTACAAGATACGGAGTAAGGAGAGATCTAACGGGCTCTGGTATATTCTACCTGTGATCCTCACCGTGTACTTTGTTACGCGAAGATCGAAGCTTCTTGCGACACCTCCGATGAGCCTATCGACTGACAATCCAGACATCCCTGGACTAACCGAGGCTACCCGGCGCACCTGATGAGGCGACTATCCGTTAGATATTTTTTTAAGGCATCTTGGTTTGTCATCGGGGTTTTATAGTTAACCAACTACTCCGTAGTTAGCCAAGATATGTGGATAGTAAGTCAAGTAACATCCATTTGTTTCTCTACAAACTTTGTGGAAGTTGAAGGAAGCCAAGTGATCGACCCTACAATAAAAAGCAATTATAATGATTGATGTAGGCTATACGGAGTACGGAGTACGGTGAAGAGAGTAAATAATCCCCCCTTGTTAGGCCACATGTTTTATTCTGTCCACGAATTGTGATATTATTTGAGAAAGTTGACAATTAATACTCCGTAGAGGTATACAATTAAAAGAGAAGTGGAGAGACGGGAACAGCCCCAACCTTAAGGAAATGGGGAGCCGAAGCCTTGGGGCTGTTCGGGGTGGACAAGCCG